TAGGTGGTTGAGAGTACCTTTGTAAACTCACCTTAAAAATTTAATAGTTTTAGAATTTAGGATAGAAAAGCCCAAGAAGTTCTGAGGTTGATTAATACTTGGATTTGGTGCTCATGCTCAGGTTTTGCTCAGGGAAGCACAGACGGGAGGAATAGAGTACAAGGGAGTTGGATGAGATTCGATGCAGGCTCAGGTGGCAGCAGCCTCCTGGAGCCATCAAGACTGGCGTAGAGAAGACAGGAAAGAGGCCGCGGAAAAAAGGAGCAGCCTGCAATCACCTGTCCCTGTCACCTTGGATTTCGTGCCACATGCATGACCAGGTGAGCCTCCACAAGCAGTAATACATCTGCCTGGACCAGGATTCAGGGCCCCGAAGGGTTAATCTTCAGGAGCTGTGGGCGCTGTAGACAGAACCCCGGGCCAATGAGAGGAGCCTGCAGGTACTGCATGCATGAGCCACGCAAATACCTTTTTACATGTCAGCTAGATTCTCCAGAGTGCTAACATTTTGCAAAATCTGTGTACGTTTTTTGTACTTACATGGTACTTTGCGGAAGTGTTGACCCTATGCTGACCTCCGGAGTGCTAGGATATGCCTGCTCTTTAGCTTCCCTCTTCTAAATCGAGTGCAAATTTCTCCTGTGGGCATTCTTCATCAGGAAATACAGAAGAAAGCAAATTCAGAGAAAAATGGTCTCGCCTTAATTAAATCGACATGGTGCAAACCTGGCAGTAATGAGACAGGTTTCTGGACTTGAATATTAATAATGGAAGCTAGTCTGGCAAGCGCAAGGTCGTGAGTTCGATTCCTGTTACAGGGGGAAAAATCAAATAGTGGAAGCGAGTGCGCTGTTTCATTCATTCGTCCATTCACACACTCTTTGCTTCAACTAACAAACACTGAGTATCCATTATTAGGGATTGGCTGGACACCAGTGAGCAAAACCGGGTCGTGGTTCTTTTGGAGCCCACACGGGCTTTCTTCTGGTTATTGGCTTCCAGGGTTGCTTCCCGCCTCATCGATTTCTCTGCAAGTTCCCACAGTGATACTTTTCAAACATGGGATCATGTCGCTCCTTGCTCTCCGCTTCCCAACAGTTTCTGTTCGGCTAAGGAGAGCACCCCATGTCCTCACCGAGGCCTGGGAGCCTCCATGTCCAGTCCCTGGCCACGCCATGCCATGGATCTCTTTTCCTCCTGTCCCCTCAGGCCTCCTCCACACCAGCCTGCACTCCACTCTGTGCTTCTTGCATTTCCTCTGCTGCATGAAGCAGGCCCCTTCTCCACTCACACAGCCCCTCTGCCGGGAACCCCCTCCCAGCCAGGTCTCCCAGTACCCAGCCTCATTTCATCTCTGTCTCCCCAGGTGTCACCTCCTGAACAAGATCTTCTCTGTCCCCCTCCACTGAACCTGCTTACCAGCTTCATTCTTCTTTATGACACGTATTCTATACGTCTCCTCCCTTGTGTATCATCATGTATTCCAGGTGGGTGGTGACTTATGGACAGTGACTTTCTCTTGCTGAACTCTGCCCATTCTATTGTTTTATTCCCGTCACAGCATCTGTCACAGCCTAGATCTGACTGATTTAGTCAGATCATTTACTTGCTTATTGCTTGTTTCTCTTCACTGTATGTATGCCCGCAGGAGCCAGGAGGCAGCCTGACTGCTAACTGCAAGTCTGTCGGCCACAGCCTCTGAGACTCCACTCTTATGCAAGAATAAAGGTGGGCTTTTCTCAGAGAGACCTGTTCTAAGCAGCTTTTATGCTCCAGGAAGCAATCGGGGCAATAAATGGATTCCAGTGCAGTGAGTCTGAAGTATTTCAAAGTTCTTCCTCGCCAAGCATTCTACACATGTGACAGACTGACACCATGCACCTCATAACATGGTGCTTTAAGAACACATCACTCTTGTAGTTTTTCTGTCCATATGTTTAACCTGGATCTAATCAGGAGAAAGCAATCAGAAAGCAAAGCCAAACTGAGAGTCATTCTACAAAGCAACTGCCCTGTGCTCTTCTAAACCATCAATGTCAGAAGACAGAAAAGGGCTACAGAACTATTCTAGAAAAAAGGGGTGATGCAACCTATGAGCATGGATCCTGGATAAGAAAATTAACTGCCTTAAACAGAATTTTAAGGAGCAAGTGGGGAGACTTGAATAGTAATATATTGCTGTATTATATAGCATGCTAGACAATTCTATATAGTATAAGAACATTGTATCAATGTTAGATTATTTGAACTTGATGGTCACATGTGCTGGGTAAGAGGATTCCCCTCACTCTTAGGAGCTACATGGTGGCGTTTTTAGGAATAAAGGGAAATCTTTGCAATTTACTCTCAAATGGTTCAGCAGAAAAATAATGTCTGTGTTTTATGCCACAGCATGGCTGAAGGGTCCAAGAGAGAGAATGGCAGAGGATGAAACAAAGAAAGAAAGACAAAGAGATACAAAGCTGGTGCCAGGTGGGGCTTTCCTCTTGATGAGAGAGAAAGATGGCCAGGCAACTGCAGCCTTTTATTTATGTGTAGAGATAAGGGAAGTGCAGGGGGAGATGGAGGGCTGGTCTGTAACCAGAACCGGGAGAGTAGCTAAGCTTTGCAGATCACTGTGCTTGGATGGTTTTATGGGGAATGGATAGGGGGAAGACAGTCTCCTTCTCGGCCAGGCCTTGCTCTGTCACGCCCTCTTGTCACCTGTTCTCCTCCCATGAGGCCCTGCCTCACCCTCGGGAAGCGGCAAGTTAGGCCTGGGCATAGTGACCTACAGCACAGCGCTCCCACCAGTTATACACTATGCATGTTGCACAATTTATCCATTTAAAAAAAGAGAGGTAACTGGCAAAATGTTAGCAATCTGAAGCATCCAGGTGAAGGGTATGAAGGTATATATGGTGCTACTCTTCCAACTTTTCTATAGTTTGAAATTTTCCAGGGGAGAAGTCGAAATGTTTTTGCAAAGCGCCACAGTGCCTGGAAAATACATATGGCCATGAGGTGCACCCCAGTGCCCCAGGATGGAGTCCCAGCTCAGCTAACAGCAGGAACGGAGTGGAGGTGAAAGAGGCTCGAATCCTCCTGGCCCGGACCACCAAGCCCAGGCTCAGAATGGAACACACATCCCAAGAGAAGTCTTTGAAGAAAACATGCAAACAACTGAATAAAAAGCAAAACATTCAGACAAACAAGTTCATGCTGCTTCTGGTTTGGACATACACTGCCAGTAACTGGGAACCCAAATTCACAAGAGAGTTATTGACAAATTCCAAGCAGAGAAGCTGGTGCCTGGGAAGTATTAATTTACATCCACTCAATGGGTTTCCATAGTCACTCAGGACCTGTAAATTTCTCACTCAGTAGCAAACTGTCCCCTCCCCTCCCAGGCTTACCTCTTGATGCATGCATTCTTTCACCTTTGACTCCACCACGATGAACTTCCTTCAATTCCTAAAAGCAGCTCTTCTCTCGCATGCCTGTATAGAACAATATCCCCAAAGCACCATTAGAGACAGACCAGCTGGAGGGTTTTGTTTGGCTTAACTTCCAATCCACCCTGCACATGCCGGCAACCCTGATGGACCACTACTTTGCAGTGTGTGTCCTGCACAATGTCCTCGTAAGCCCCAGATCACCCAGTCTGGTCTACACCGTGATCAGAGGGTGTAGACAACTCTGCTGAGAAATGATCACACACTGGGGTGTTGAGAGAATGGCAGACTGCTACGCAAGATTCCAGCACTGAATTTGTGCTACGTCTTGATGTGTGCTTCACCTGTGGGCGAGGAAGAACTAGAGAAATACAGAGCTAGAGATCCTCAGCTGCCTTTCTTATGTAGCAAACTCATATTTGCTATCAGATCTCAGCTTAGCCCTCACCTTCTCCAGGAAGCTTCCCTCACTTCACTTACTTCTACATCAGAGCTCCTCAAAGTGTGGTCTACAGAAAAGTCTGCACCCAAAATCCCTGGTGGCACTCTTCAAAAAAGTAGTTTCTGGACCCCAGCATAAATATACTTTATCTACATCTCTGAGGAGCAGGGGGACAGGCATCTATAGCTGAATAGATTTCCCGGGAATGGTAAAGTACATATGACAGTAACATGTGACAGTTTTGCTGTATATGCGGTATGCTTAAAGACCACAATAGGGCGTCACACACTTAAAAGTGTGTCATGAGGGTAGAGCTCATGGATGTGTTCTTACTACAATAAAATAAGCCACCTCAAACCCATCTCAGGGAAGAGTGGCTTTGAGTTTCCTAAGGAACCTTGAAGAGCCATTTCACTGTCAGACCAGCTGAGTCAGGAGCTTGTAAGGCATCATATTCAAAGCTGTGTGCATGAGATTTTGTGTGATTTAGATCTAAGACCTCATTCCAGATCCTCAGGTTCATGCCTGCTCACATCCACTGGATTGGCTCCCATTTACTCTGAGCTCTTCTGTGAACTCGATGCCCCTGCTTCCACCTTGGTTAAAGTCAAACTTGAACCGGAAAGTCCTGAAGCTCCCTGGCCTCTCTGAACCCTGCTTCCTTCAGTAGGTCAGTGATCACTCTGCACACACCCTGTTTCTTCCCAAGCCCTGTCGAGCTGTTGAGTAGTTGAGGAGAGCAGCAGTCAGCCAGTAAGGGCAGGAGGGACCCTGTGGCTGAGTCCTTGTGCTTGGCAGTGGTCTCCCACCCAAGCCACTGCTGCAGGCTGTGGCAGGAGTGAGCTGGCTGGCAGGGAGCTGCACAGACCAAGTAGAATCCTGAGAAATAATCCACTCTCCCAGACCCCAGCTTCACTGCACTCCCGGCATCTGAACCCAAAGAAATCGATTCCTAATGCTCCAAACTGGAACTCACAAACCCCAAACCTTTATCACTGTCCTGAAAAATGCAAACCTATGCAGAAGGTGCTGATGGTGGTAAAAGAATAAAACAAAGCCAAAATGAGAAGAGAGAAGACAAAATAAGTAATAAAACATTTTTTAATTATGAAAGATTTTCATAAACTTTGTCAAATCTCATCTTTGTCAAGTCTCATCGTTGACCATTCACGCTCCAGCCCTCGTGTGAGAAATAAATGACCCCCGGCGTGGCTGAATTGAGTTGCTCTTCAGAGGACCCATTCTCATTCCGTCACTCGCAGAGGCAGCATCCACCCGAACTCCAAGTTGAGGTATTCACTGCGCCAAGGCCGATTGATGCTACTCTAAGGTGAACATGTTCGCGGCTAATATATGCTATTATTTGCAGGTTGCATTCTGCATCCAACTTTCTGCAATTTGCTTTTTTTGTGAGGGTTGGGTTTTTCGGTAGTTTGTTTGTTCGTTCGTTTTGAGGTAAGGTCTTCCTAAGTCTCTAAGTTGCCTGAGCTAGGCTCTGTAATTTGCTTTTAATTCAGCATTATCCCTTGATGGTATTACCTTGCTGGCACTTAGAGCTCCAATTCATTTATTTTAACTTTGGCATAATATCCCACTGAACGCCTTTAATCTCAACTTACTTAACCATTACCCTGTCGCTGGGTCTTCAAACGGCTTCTTTCTTTTACTGTCTCAAATCATCCGCCCTCGACATTCCCGTGCCTGCCCCTCGCGCGTTCCCAGGTCAGCTCCTCCTGGTCAGAGGGAATCGCGCGCATGCGCAGTCTCACCTTTTATGTTCTTCCCCTGCTGGATTGCTCTCCACAAGGGTTTCAGCACATGTTTTTCCCACCGGTGATCCATGGGAGCTCCCACTGCTGTATATGATTTTACTCCACAATTTCGGCTCATACAAAACTCTTAATGAGCAATTTTAATTTATGAGGAAAAAGTAAAACTATATAAACTGATGATCAACAGTAGCATAACTGTATCCCAAATCCCGTATTCACATAAGATATTTACATTTTGTATAAAAACACCTGAGATAGAAGACTAGCCTTCTAACAATACGTCAACATGGTATTACTAATGGTCATTTTAAAAAATAGGTACCATACTATTATTCAGATATGATTATTATAATAGCACTCTAGAAGAGCAAAGAACTTTCCCATTGCTTATTAGTTACTCTGCCAAGCAAAGGGACTGTTGTCTCCATATACGTGTATTGAGTACACATCCAGGGAAGGTAAATTATTTCCACGGTTTCAGAAAAGCTAAAGGCACAATCGACCTCATGCTCAAAAAAACTATTTTTCAGAACAAAACAAAAATACTATTTTTCCAGCACAATATCCAAGCCATAGTATGGTCATATTCTGGTCCAATACTTAGCGTCACACAGTAAAAGCAACTTGAGTTTGCTGTATGATTGTGTATCCTGGTGCCACCATGTCCTGGCTGTGTGCCCTGTGGTGAGCTGTGGAGCCTCTGAGACTCAGTTTCCTCATCTGTCAAAGGAGCCCCTGGCACAGTGCGTGGCACATCACTGACCTTTAACAAGTGGCACTTGCTTCTCCTCTTGTGCACCCGGTGACCCTGCCTCCTTGTTCCACCCACCTGGTTTTGCCCTCTGTTTCCTGCCCACTGGCACTGACATAGGGTGTTCTTCCCCTCACTATGGTTCCAGACCCAGTTCAGGATGAAACACTCTGCCACCCACACCCCAGTGACCACAGTGACCTGGAGAAAATGATTGCCCAAAAACACTCATTGACCCTGCTCAGGATGAACCAGGCTCCCAGCTGGAGAACATCCATTGTCAGAGATTCCAGCTGGCCTCAGGCCATCACCTGCAGAAGAAAAACAAACTGTCACTACCATTCAAAGGTCACAGGAAAGCTCAGGTGCTGATCCTGTTTCTTCACAAGTCCCCTGCAGCAATGTTCACAAAATCTGCTCACTCTTGTTTTATGAGTGTATCCAAGGGATCAATGCCACATGTAGGAGGGCTGGGCTTGTTTGTTCTGGATTCACTCCGCTGGAACTCGGTATAGATATGGTCACATTCAACTGCAGCTCTGAGTGGGCTTCACTCACCTTGGGTCTCTTCATTTCAGGAGCTCTTCCATCCCTAAGGTTTGTGTTGGGGCTTTGCTGTTAGTGTAATAGAAAGGAAAATGGGTAAGGGAAACCAAGGAACATTTATAGAGTAGCACCAATGAGTCTCTCTGCCAAGATGGTTAATCCTCACATTAGCTCATTAGGGTCAGTGTTATATCCTCATTTTGCTCAAAGAAGTCAAGTACAGTGCCAAAGGCCATAGCTAGTAAGCAAAGTTCCAGGGATTTGTCCCCAAGTCCACATGACACAAAGCCCAGGGTTGTGACCACAGGGACAGGCATCTCAGTAGGAGTTGACTGTGGACTGGGTTCTCACAAGAGGGAAAAAAGGAGGAGGAGGAGGAGGGGGATCCAATACACATAACCCTATGAAATCTTGACCCTTGAGGTTCAGACCCAGATAGGAGTCACAGTACAAGAAGCAAAATCAATCATTAAAAATTTTCTTTATAAATCAAGATTTTTATACAGATTTTTCCACCACAATGAAGTGGTATGTAATCGCACTTCTTTAAAATCCTTCTTTACTTCTGCTTCAATATTTTCACAAAACTCTGCTGTTTCTGGACCTCTTTCTACAACATTTATAGACCTTCTACTCCCACTGTTTCCTATTCCTAAATCCTGCTTCCTCTATCTCTTCACTTCTATTTTTGGAGATTCATTTTGAAGTTCAATCTCAGTCCTTCTATTACGTTGGTTCATTTGCCCGCTGTAACTCTCAAATCCAGTTCCTCTTAGTGGTATCTCCAGTCTTGCAGCACAACAGGCTAAGATTACCTCTAAATTCACCCATGTATTCAATGAACACTTTTTGCTTATTTGCTGTGACCCAAGCACTGTCATAACTGCTGAGAACACCACACCAGCTCTGGGTTCTCAGACCGTACCCCGCATGACCATCTCCCCAGTGCTGGTTGGGTCCCCTCCCCAGTGTCTGATTTGGCCCATGGAAGGTTGGGCGGGCCCCACAATCTGCATCTCTAACAAGTTCCCAGTGACACTGATACCAATGATTGTCAAACACATTTCTGAACTGTGGCTCCTAAAAAGTACAACAAACATCTGTTCTCATGAAAATGATATTGTAGTTAGGAAAAATATAGAAGATAAAGAAAACATGTATATCAAATACACTGTCAGGTAGCAAAAGTGTCCTGAAGAATAACAACAAAGGGAAGAGGGTAGGAGAGAAGTACCTGAATATCAGGGGTTAGAATGTTCAAGAATCTAAGCAGGATGAAAACTGACCTTCCAGGCAGAAACAAGCAGATAAGGAAACAGTAGAATGAGGTAACAGAATTGGGAAATCTAAGCTAGGAATTAAAGGTTTGCATAGGTTGGGAAAAAGTTTCTCCCTAAGCTTCCACAGTTAGGAAGTTGCCAGTCTAGGACTTGAACAAATCTCTATCTAAACCAAGGTCCTTGACTTTGACCACTCTGCTCACCTTCAGCTCTAGATTTTTCAAGTGGGTACTCAATGCATATTAGAAAATGAAGAAATAAAACTGCACAGGTTCTTAAACATATAAAATGTATGATGTAGATATATCCATAGAAGGTTTATAGGCATTTCAATTCATTACAGAACTATATGTGTGAATCAGTTTATTTCCTTAAAAACTAATAAGCCATTTCCAACTTTCCAAAATTGCATTAGATTCAGGCTGTGATAAACTGTAAGATTACCTAAAGATTTCCACTCCCAGGGTACGCACCATATATAAGGCCCTCCTTTGAGTGTGGGCAGAATCTGTGATAGTAGTCACTCCCTTGAATAGGTTATATGGTATGATTATTGTATTACACCAAATGAGAGTTCATCATGGTCAACTAAGATGAATGTAGAAGCCAAAGACACGCTCCTGCTGGCCAGGAGGGAAGGAGACATCCAAGCCAAGCCGTGAGCTTCCTACACAGTGCTCAGCAGGGAACTGTGGCACCCCCTAGCGGCAGGGGTCAGCTGCTGCCAGAAGAAGGTTCTCAATTCTCCACACAGCAATTCATAGACAATACAAAAGGAAAAAGAACTGATCAATTATTGGAAAAATCTAGAGATGAAGGTGAACAGAGTGGTCTAAGAGACACACTAAGCCTGTAAATTGGGGCCTGGGCCCATGCTTTTCACCAGTCAGTTGTGCTTCCTGCCACAGAGCTCCATCCTCAAGGAAGCAGCCATCTTAGTGGGCAGCAGAGCTCAAACTCAAACACAAGTGAATGGTTTGTGTTCTCACACAGCCACCCCTGGATGAGTACCCTGAGAGACAGCAGGAATACACATCCTGGAGCATCCATCTTGAAGATGCCCCAAGACGACAGAAACACCCAGCTCCAGTTCATAAAATGCCCCTCCCCTTGAGACCCACACTCTATTTCTTTGAATGTGTGCTTTAAAATTTCTGCCTAATAAATCCCTTCATACCTCTTACTGTTGTGTCCTGAAAGTTCTTTCATGGCAACAGGAGTCCGCAAACTGGCAACTTAATTCTACAGGTAGGGTGGCTCTTGGTTCCTTGTCATGGTGGGAACCTCCTCAGACACTGTCCAGGGACAAATCCATCCTGGAAAAGTTCACCCATCCCTAATGTCTGCTCTGAGTATCACAGGCCTGGCCTGGGTAGAGAACAGTCATGGCTGACAAAGTCTATTTTACAATTCTCACTGCTGCTATTTCACCCACACATCTCAAACTGTTTTTCACAGAAACTACTTCTGCCAGAAAGTAATACATCTCTTAAAAATTCTTATGCTCAGAAAACTTTTTATCAAAACTGCAATGAACAGTAAATTTGGTTTATCCATTTCAATACTCCCAAGGTCTTTAATATAGTGTGATGTCCCAGGTAAATCTTAAAGAGAGCTGTAAAGTACAGAGATTTGCATCAGGGAAGAATAACTGGGAAGGGACTGACCATGCCAAGATGACTGTCATCTTATTACACTATGGAGCAGTCTGCATTCCAGCAAGATCCAGTTCCGCAGCAACCTGAGGGAACAGGAAGTCAAATAGCTTCTGAATTCCCTCAGGCAGCCCATCCTCCAGGGGCAGCACTTTTTGGAGCTGGGATACAAAGATGCAGGGAATCCACAGGGATGCGGGGGGGGGGGGGGGCAGGAGAAGCAACAGGGATGGGCAAGCGGAAAGAGCAAGAGCTGAGCACCCAGGTATGAAGGCAGGGGATCCTCCGGCAGGACCAGCCATCCTCACCCACATCTTCCTGCCGCTGCATCCCCTCCCCGGCAGCCTTCTTTCCCGCCTGCCTCCCCCGTCTCTGGCTCCCTCTGGAGCTCACCACGCATGCTCACCCCCCTCTGCTTGCTCCTTGCCACCTTCTTCCAGAAGATCCCTGCAGACGTCGCTATGGCTTATTCCCTCTGTCCGTCTTGGCCCCTAGACAAACGTCACCTCTTCAAGACGGTCCTCCTGAGGTAGAATGGGGACAAGGAAATCGTGACTCAAAAACTGCACTTTAGGAAGACTGCAACTTCAGGAACCAGTGAAGTTACCCGGGAGACGCACATCAGTATTCCTTTGGATCCCTTCCCTACCAGACTCATCACACCCGAATTCCTTAGGAATACTAAAAGTCCATAAACTGGCTTAAATTAAGAAAACAGGACACCAACCAGCACAACCTTTCTGTGATAGTCTATAGCACTGACAGTCTAACTGCTATTTATTCCATATGCTAATGATTCTGGGTGTGGACAAAGAAAAACAGACAATTGGTGTTATTTCACAAAACCCAAAGCTGGAGGAGCGCCAGACCCTGACCATCTGAAATAAAGTCCAACTCCACCACCTGCTGGCGACTTCAGATAGTACATTTGGTGTCTGAGCTAGACCCAAGGCAAATAAAGCCAGGCAGGTACAAGCCCAGGTGACGAGAGCCACTGTTTCCTTGGTCTTGCATTTGCTGCGTGCCAGGGGTCTGCAGTTGTGCAATTTGTGTGTATGGACACCGTTACTCCATGCTTCCAGTGGGAAACTGAGTGCAGGGAATTTGAGCACCTGGCTTCAAGTCATCCATCAAAAAGGAATGGAGACAGGACTCAAACCAGATAATCTGCTCGAGTCCCTGCTCTGAATCTCCACACTACGCTGACTCAAAAAATGGAAAAATAGGGCCGGTAATTTAGCTCAGTGGTTCTGCCACCTGCTTCGAAAGTGCAAGGACCCAAGTTCAATCCCCAGTACCACCAAAAAAAAAAAAAATCCCACCAAAAAATGGAAAATAGCCAGAAGAGGTGCCAACCAAATTATATTTCCCTTAATTAACCCACTCCTCCAAGAAACACTCCTCTAGAATATGCTTTGGGTACAACCTTTCCGTCCTGTTCATAAGGAAAAAAACGAGGACACAGAGAGGTAAGTGGCTTACCCAAGGCAACACAGCAGGTGGGTGGCAGGTCAGAGAGGGTACCTGGCCACCTTCAGCCACACCGGTATCAGCAGCATTTTCTGAGGGACCACGAATTCTCGCAGCTAGGCTGGGCACCCTGGGAAAAGCAAATGGTGAATGTTCCCCCAAACCAGGAGGCCACACATTACCGGGCCGTGGCTTGTGAGGAACCAGGCCACAGCGGTGGGTGGGTGAGTGACTCCATCTGCATTTCCAACCGGTCCCTGTCACTGGCATTACATTCAGAGCAGCAGTGACATTAGCTTCTCATAGGACCACAGAGCCTACTTGGAGTCGTGCGTGAGAGGAATGAAGTTCTTTGCTTCTTATGAGAATCTGCTCCCCAAACCATGCTTCTGTCCGCAGTCCCTGGAAAAACGATTGTCCTCAAAACCAGTCCTTGGCACCAAAATATTGGAGTCCACTGCTCTAAACAATTAGGGGCTCTTATATTTGGGGATTATGATTCTAGAAACAATGCATTAACTTGTTTTTTAAAATAGCATCGAGGACTCCTCCTTTTTCTATTTCATCCCTTTAAAAGCTATTTTCTAGGCCTCTGCAGTTGTAGTTCGGCCTCGGGGTCGCGGGCGGGATGGTACCCAGCTGCAGGTTGAAGTACTGTACTTTGCAAAAAGTGCTGAAATAGCGGGAGTTCGTTCAGAGACCATTTCTGTGCCACAGGAAATAAAAGCGTTGCAGCTTTGGAAAGAGATAGAAACTTGACATCCTGGATTGGCTGATATTAAAAATCAGGTGATATTTGCTGTTCGTCACGAGTATGTCGAGCTGGGAGATCAGCTCCTCCAGCTGCAACCAGGAGACGAAATTGCCATTATCCCCCCAATTAGTGGAGGATAATGCTTTTCAGCCATGTAGGAAAAATATGGACGAAGCTGAAGAGAAATCTAAAGACATAATAAAATGCACTGCCGAGAAACTTTCAGTAGATGAAGTCTCACAGTTGGTGATTTCTCCAGTGTGTGGTGCAGTGTCCTTATTTGTAGGGACTACAAGAAATAACTTTGAAGGGAAAAAAGTCATTAGTTTAGAATATGAAGCATATATACCAATGGCGGAAAATGAGATCAGAAAAATTTGTAGTGACATTAGGCAGAAATGGCCGGTAAAACACATAGCAGTGTTCCATAGACTTGGCTTGGTTCCAGTGTCAGAAGCAAGCATAATTATTGCTGTGTCCTCGGCCCACAGGGCTGCGTCTCTAGCAGCTGTGAGTTATGCCATTGGCACTTTAAAAGCCAAAGTGCCCATATGGAAAAAGGAAATATATGAAGAATCATCATCATCATGGAAAAGAAACAAAGAATGTTTTGGGGCAACCAGTGATTAATCACATATTTTAGAGCATTAAATCTTAAATTTAGCAAATTTTCATTCTTGATAATCTTTTGATTTTTCTTCTACAGAAAAGATAGTTTCCTGAAGCACAATCTCTTAGGTTTTACCAATGGATCAAGTAGAAGAAAAAAGAAGGAAAAATAAATGGTTTTGGGGATCTAAGAACTAGAGATGGGGAAGAAATGAGATCATTTAACTGTGAGGAAAGATGTCTGTGGTAGACATACCCTTCCATGATTAATTTCTAATTATGACTCAATTCATATTAAAGTGAGGCCCCTCCTCACTAACTTTAACTGTTTCAGGGAAGCCTCTTTGTCTGCTAGCCCCAGTGCATTGATAGTGTTATCATCAGGGACGCATTGTAGAAACGTTGGGAGAACTGAAAAGTCACTGTCAGACAATTTCGCTATTGTGTTTTTTATACATTTTCAGAACTTACATATTAAAAATACCTAACTCCATGATTTAGTGATAAACCTAAAATATGGAAACTTCTAATATTTTACTCTATGATTGTACCATCATACTTGTTGTATTTTATTAGTTATTATCAGTAGACAAGTCAGCATAAAATTGTTAAGAAACTAACAACAACATGGTTTGTGCTAAAATGTTACTTAATGTTTAAAATTTAACATGACTGTTAAAGGAAATTACATTAGGGAAATTAATATTAGAGAAATTACATGATTTCTAAAGTATTTGAGGGTATTTTTCTGGATACTAATGCAACCTTATCATTAGTGAAGTCATAAAAAATTTTCTGTAAGATTTTTATACTAAATGATACAGTTTTTGCTTGATCAGCCTATATACTCCCTTGATAGATTTGATTATATAAGTCTCATACAAAGAACAAGTTATCAGCCTACTGAGGTATATTTGACAAATAAAAATTAAATATATTTTTTAAAAAAGCTATTTTCTAGTCATTCAAATAACTTAAGATTTTAAAAAATTATTTTATTGGTACATGTTAGGTGTACAATATACTGACAATCATCATTGGAAATTTGCACCTTTACATAATCTCTCTTGGTTCTTATTTTTCACCTTTGCCCAGCCCTCCCTTCAACCCCTCCATTCCTCCCTATTTACAAAGACTTTGTTTCCATTTTTTCATTTTCTCGTATTAATTCCATT